CAAGCTTATTAAAAGCTATCAACAACATTTATAGGATTTAAGATGAGATCCTATGTAACCATCTTCACACAAAGCGGTCCCGCCGCCTCACCCGATGTATGCAGATGGAGGTGTACATACAATACTACAACTCTAATCAAGCGGCCCTGCCGCTTCACCCCAATGTATGCGGGTGAATGTGTAGCCACAGTACCAAGAACCTACACAAAGCGGCTATGACGCCTCACCCCAATGTATACGGGTGAAAATGCATCAACGATACCAATACCAACACAAAGCGGTCGTACCGCCTCACCCCAATGTTAGCGGGTGGAGGTGCAGTCCTACAATACCATAATCCCTACACAAAGCGGTCATGCCGCCTCACCCCAATATATATGCGGGTGGAGGTGTATCACAGTCATAATCTCTATACCATAATCCCTACACAAAGCGGTCATGCCGCCTCACCCCCAATGTATGCGGGTGAAGGTGTATTACAATCAAAATCTCTACACAACTTGGCATAATACCTTTCACATAAATCACGACTAGAAATTATAACATATGGATACGTAATCCATGGTTTGGGACACATCCTCAATTTATAATGCAATATGATAAGAGCATTTGAAATACAAATTGGACATATATCTTCATCACAAAACTTATCGGAATACTCGATTTATAATCAACATCTTGGAACTCACAAGGATAATGAAAATTCCAACTCTTAAAGAAGAGTTTAGCCAACATACCTCAAATTCTTCCCTTAATAATACTACAACGAAGCACTACACTAATCAACTTCAATCTACAATAACAACATCCAATGAGACCAATATTAGTAACAAATCCCATAGATTCAATGTATTAATAAATTTCATCGCCAAGATTACCATTCACCTTCTCCCTTATTTTCTCAAAAGTACCATTCATGCCATGAACTAGATTTTTATAATCCAATCTTTCAACCCTTAAAACTTACAACAAATGCTTCAAATACTTATAACTACTCATATAAAATGAGTTTGAAGCATTAGAATTACCTCTAGTAGATCAATCTTGAAAAATTATAACTTTGGTAATTTTTGTGTTCTTGAGGATTTGATGATGAAATCTTGTATTTGGATGTAAGAATGATGTTAGAAATCATGTATATTGAGTAATAATCAACCCAAAATATCATTAACAGCTTACCTTGGTTGATTGGACTTGATTTGAGCTCAAAATCGTCCCTTCACCTCAAGAACCCTAACCCCCAAATACTCAAAATATCCCTCTTCCCCGACCTTGTATTTATAGGCCCAGATTTTTGGGTTTCGGATGCGGTCCTGGATGCTTCGCATCCCCACTTCACTCCTCTTTGAAGCTCAGATGTGGACCTGGACGCTATGGCAACACTTCACTGCCAGCCTCTCTTTCGGACGCGGCTTCGGATGTTTCGCATCCGCAGGCTCTTCCGTCAGCCTTTGGTAATTTGATCATAACTTTTTGTAGGAATGTCCGAATGACGAATGGTTTGAAGCGTTAAAAACTAGACTCAAATGGCTTTAATTTTATAGGTAGATAACCTTATAAGTCGTTATACTTTGGTAGCAGAATACGTTTGAAGTAGGATCTTATACGAATTGAGACATCCTTTCCACTTAATGTATCCTACTTGTTCCACACGAATTCTTTCCATTCACAAAACTCCTTATTATGTTTCAACACACCTTAAACATATACATTTCATTTCGAAATAATGTGGTTCTATCCCATAGTTCTCCTTTAATACTCTAACACGTTATTCCCAAATACCGTTGGCGTACTTTAAAATATTAAATCGTTAGAAAATTTTTTTGGGGCCTTACATTTTTCTTGTAAGGTTTTGACGAGGCATAATACCTTTTAATGAACATCCAAGGGGGAGTGCTATGAAAATAATTATATTATGGATATCCATTTATTACTTCGCTATAGATAATCTTCCTGAAGAAGATTATCCATTTAGTACTCTGTTGAAGTTTATCTACAAGCAACTGATGCAGGCAGGTTGCAAGCAACTCAATGAAATGATTTGCAGCAGCTTCTTATTAAACAGGCAGATTGCAAGCAGCTCATGCAGACAGCTTACAAGCAGCTAAAGAAAAGCCTTGCAGCTGCTTCCTGAAAAGTCTCGCAACTGTTTCCTTTCTTCTATAAATAGAGGAGTTTTCAGTTCATTATATACATAAGTTTGAAGTTTGAATAATATATTAGTTTCTCTCTATAATTGTCTTTACTTTACAGTTTTTATTTTATAACAGAACTATAGTTAACCGGATTTTATCATATAAAGGGAAACTTTTTAGTTGTTCTAGAATTCTAAATATTAGGACTTCCTACCTGGTTTAATTAGGAAAGATTTATAAAACTAAAATTTTAGTTGATTCTAAATTACTAAATATTAGGAAAATAACTTAAATTATAGTTTTTTCACATGTGAAATTTATTTTTAAAGGGTAAAAAAGGCGAACGACATTCCGTTAAGGAGTTTCGTGCTTTTATTATAGTACTAGTTTCTATGAACGTGCGTTGCACGATAACAATTGCACGTTAATTTTCGAGCGCTAAAATTTTGGTATTCATACTTTTCACGTAAATTCTCAATTAATTATTTATATATATTAAGGAACCAAAAGTTAAGTTTACCTAAAATATTATATATATGAATGCAACAGTTGATGTGAAAGAAAATGTAACAATCTTCAAATGTTATTACACTTACATTATACTTGAATTTAAAATAATTCGACATCACGTCTGAACTTGCAAATGATATATGTATTAATAGTATAGACATAAAAAATATAATCGTATCTTACCTTATACTTTTTTATATACGATATTTTTGGGTTTGTTCCCTTATGATATTTTGGCTGCTTGTTATGATTGAAACTCTTATTGTCGATATTGATATTCTTTTTGAAAATGCGACATATAATAGTCAATGTAATAAAATATGTTGCATCAAATATAGTCCAACACTTAAAAATATTTGGCTATGTGTTATTTTCAGACAAATTTAAGAGGATATCATTCATTTTCTGTAGTAAAAGTTGAATTTTATATAAGGTTCCCCATAAGTATTTCGTCCCAAATAACTAATTCTGCTTCAATATTTAGCACCACCACTCTATTATATTGTTGGCATCTTTTTTGTCCTTTTGATATAAAAAAGAGTTGTTACAAATAGTATTATAGAAAGAATAAAATAAACATAATCTACTCATAATAGTCTAGAAGTAATATTCCTACATAACATATAAAAAGATCAATTTCAGAACGTGTGCATGCGATATACATTGAAAAAAACCAACGAACCTTTGAACAAAAGAGCAGAAGCTGGATAGTATTGCCAGAGAAATTGCCTATATTTGTAATCTTAGAGCTCCACATGGAGTTAGGAACATAGTACAACAACTTATGTTTTAGCAATAGCTTTCTGTTAGGGATGCTATTTGAGTAGTTTGGATAAAAGTTGTGATCGCTTAGCTACGGTTATGTATTTTTTTATGGTGATTAATAAAATAAATTTAATTACCAAAAAGAGATCAATTTCCTTTTTTTTTAATGCAAAAAGACTATTATAAGACAAAATTAGAGCAATATGAATATAGAGCAATTGAATTTTTCTAAAATATTTATTTCATATTTTTTCAGAAATAGTTCACAAAGTTTTAAATAACATCCTAAAGCTGTACAATCAAAATTTTGATTTGTAAAATATATTTCTTACATCAAAATTTGGTTTTGATTCATTTGCAATGTATTATAACTGTTTGATTTTTTTGACTTTCTTTCACTCCAATATTAATTTTATATATTTCCATTCATTTGTTCACAACACTAATCGCAATAAATGAACAATAATGTCAAAAATTGAATTAAACATAGTTATATTCCTACAGTGTTTGATCTCGATTTTCATAATTTAATTTTATTGAAGTAAAATATTGTCATTTTAAATTTTAAAAATAAATAAACAAATAACGATTAAGCCAAGCGTATTAGATTTTATGCTTATTATGGTTAGATTATAAATTGAGTAATAAATATAGCTTGGAGAAATTTTTTGTCTTGTTTTATTTTGGTTTGAACGGGTTGATTTCTTAGAGTTCAAAGGCAATTGGTATTTGGTAGTAGAAATCAAATTATGATTAGGATGGTATAAAGGAGTATTTTATCCAATTATGGAATTGTTTCTTTGAAGTAAAATTTTATATTTTAGAATAGATTGAGTCCCAACAGAAAAAAGGTTACATAGTCATAACCCAAAATTATATTTATACCCATCATTAAATTGCTACAAAACGAAAATATTAACTTTAAAGGGCAAAAAGGTCGATCAATTTGTCGGGGATATTTTCGTCTCTCAACATTTAGCTTCCTAACATTCGTGCTTTTATAATAATATAGATAGATAGATAGATATAGATATATATAAATATAAATAGATACATTTATATCTACTATCTATTCCAGTTTTAATAGATTTTTATATATGATTCTATGTTGCACATAAAAAATTATGGGTTTATTCGAACCGAGTATTAGAATACTAGATCCGCCACATAATATAAGTGTAGGATTTCGTCCATACCAAAATTTACCCGCACATGTACTTCAACACCTCGACAAAAGAGTTAGTTTCACTTGTACAAAAGTGCTCAAGAAGAAAGTGTATACTAATTAAATGTAAAAAAGTTATCAAATTCGTTAATTTTATGAATTAAATTCAAAAGAAGAGAAATGCTTAAAAGAAGTTGGACATGTAACCTAATATAGAAGTGATATTCTCAAAGGTGCTCATGTTTTCTACATTCTCTTTCTCCGTTATTCATGGATGAAAAAAATTAACTCATATTTACATCAATTCAATAAAATACATAATATTTATATGCATCATATCATTTAATCTTAATTAATTATATACCTTCTCACCTCAATTTGATCACATAATCATCTAAATTAATACTTATAATTTAATGTAAAAAACTAAGTTGAATAAGTGTTTTTCCATTCATGCGCCAACTTGTACACCAGATATTAAAAAGAAAAAGAAAAGGAAAAAAAGAAGAAAGAAGCCTACGGGAAAAAAAAAAATTGATAACTCACAGTACCGCTGTGTATCTAAACACAGAAGATCCAAACCCAGCCTTCCCTCCATTTTAGAGCAACTGGATAACACAACACACATAACTCAGCAAAAAAAAAAAAAAAACAATTCAAAACTCAATCTTCAATGAACCTCTTAAACTGCAAATTCAACAACACTCTCCTCACCAATCATCTTCCTCCACGTCATACCTCGCTCTACAACCCTCGTGCAACTCGGTTCTCCGTCCGCTTCTCATCCGAGTCAACTCACAGAGTCAAACTCGCCGAGTCACTCCAATCCGAGACCCTGAAGCTTCTAGAATGGCCCGCCGTCTGTCGCCAGCTCTCCGCCTTCACTTCCACATCCATGGGCTTCGCTGCCGCACAATCTGCTGTGATTCCGGTGGGTAAAACTCCTGAAGAGAGCGGGAAACTCCTCTCTCAGACCTCCGCCGCCGTGGCAGTTCCTCGGCCGTTGGATTTCTCCGGAATTGAGGATGTTTCCCCTATTGTTAATGCTTCCATTGCCGGCGGAGTACTCTCAATTCGTGAGCTTTGCTCTGTGAAACGGACCTTGGGAGCGGCGAGGCTTTTGCTCCAACAGTTGGAGGAAATTGCTTCGCTGAGTGATTTTTCTGACAGGTGTATTGCTGTATTTGATACTCCACTTAACTATTGACATACGGATTTTTTTTAATTATTTTTTTTGATTTTTTTGGCTCATGTTTCTCACATCATTGCATGATATCTTTTCGCTCTTAATTAAAAGTCTCGTCTGAAAATTGAGAATCTTTTCGGAAGGAGTGTTTCACTCCTCCTCAATGAAAATTCGAACTAGTCGGACACTCGGACCATTGAATTTCGGATATTAAAGTAAACAAAAAGTTCTTTCCTTTTGTATTGGTGGTTCATTTTTTCCCTTTTTAAAAAAAATGATGTTTGAAACCCAAGAATTTCTTGATTATGAATATGAGTTCTTATAAAGTTAAATCCAAAGATGAATTCACGTAGAGTGTGCTTGCCCTTTATTTCTATGCCTTCTGAGAATGCCTTCCTACTCCCAATTGCAGTTAACTCAAAATGGCGAAGCTTGTCTCATGTGGTAGTGATGGATTCTCATGAAGTGCCATTTAAATAGTATTGAGCAGTTTCATTAGAATGTCTAATTATGTTCAAACAGGTACTCTCCTCTGAAGGAAATTCTTCACAATTGTGATTTTCTTGTGGAATTGGAGCAAAAAATAGAATTCTGTATTGATTGCAGCTTTTCAGCAATCCTTGACAGAGCTAGTGAAGATTTGGAAATTATAAGGTCTGAGAGAAAACGGAACATGGGAAATCTAGAATCATTGTTGAAGCAATTATCAACTCAAGTTTTTCAGGGTGGGGGATTTGACAGACCTTTAGTAACCAAGCGCCGTTCAAGACTGTGTGTTGCTGTCAGAGCTTCCCATAGATCTTTGCTTCCTAATGCCGTAATCCTAGATACGAGCAGTAGTGGATCTACATATTTCATGGAACCTAAAGAGGCAGTTGAGTTGAACAACATGGAAGTTAAGCTTTCTAGTTCTGAGAGGATTGAGGAGCAAACAATTTTGAGTTTGCTTACATCGGAAATAGCTGAATCTAATATGAAAATAAAACACTTATTAGATAGAATATTGGAAATTGATCTTGCATTTGCAAGAGCTGCTCATGCTCAATGGATAGGTGGTGCCTGTCCAGCTTTAAGTTCAAGAAATTGTAACAATTCCCAATCTGAACTTTTATCTATAGATGTAGAAGGGATACGGCATCCATTGCTTCTTGAGTCCTCTTTGAGAAACTTGTCCACTGATGTGTTCCCAAGGTCGCCTGATTTGGATCAGGGAAATGGTGTCATGAATTTTGAAACAAAATCTAGTGCACATTTCCCTGTGCCCATCGATATTAAAGTTGGTCATGGAACAAAGGTTGTTGTCATCTCGGGCCCTAATACTGGAGGGAAAACGGCTTCAATGAAGACTCTAGGACTGGCTTCTATGATGTTGAAAGCCGGTATGTATTTGCCTGCCCAAAATCAACCACGGCTTCCATGGTTTGATCTCATTCTGGCAGACATAGGAGACCAGCAGGTACTTGGTTTTGCTATACACCCATCTTCCCTCTATCACCCATCTCTGCTGCATATCTTTTTCAATTTAACCCAGTTGAGATTTCCTTTCCTTCTTCATTGTCTTGTTTTTTTTCTTTCGCGCCAAAATTGAACTTTTTTATTTTGCCTGCTGAAGTCTCTGGAACAAAGTCTGTCAACCTTTAGTGGGCACATTTCACGGCTTCGTGAGATTCTGGAAGTCGCTTCTAGAGAATCTTTAGTTCTTATTGATGAAATCGGAAGTGGGACCGATCCTTCAGAAGGTGTAGCACTTTCAGAAAGCATTCTGCAATATCTCAAGGACAGGGTTAATTTAGCTGTTATAACTACCCACTATGCAGATTTAACTCGCTTAAAAGAAAAGGACAATCGGTTTGAAACTGCAGCAACAGAGTTTTCCTTGGAGACTCTACAGCCTACCTATCGGATTCTTTGGGGAAGCAAGGGAGAATCGAATGCCTTAAATATTGCAAAATCAATGGGCTTTGATGAAAGAATAATTGACCGAGCAGTATTATGGGTGAACAAATTGACACCGGACAAGCAGCAGGAGCAGAAGGGATTACTTTATCGTTCACTAATTGAAGAAAGTGACAGACTAGAATATCAAGCAATGGAAGCTGCTTCTCTTCATTCAGATATTATGAACATTTATAATGAGGTATATTCTGAAGCTTTTCCTGAATTCATACTCCCATTCATATAAGTGGGGTACAAACTCAACGAACTCATA